TTGCATTTGAGTTTTTTATACTTAACACAGGCCGCGGGTCGACCTCTGCGGCCGGCCCGCGGGCCGCGTTTCAGGATAAACAACTTATCCTGAAACACACTAGCTGCCCCAAACGGACCCTAAGTGGCAACACGTAAATAAAAACAAGTTTTATAAATAAAATAATCTACTATATAATTGAAGTTAATAGACTTCTTTTTGTTCTTTCCAAATAATGAACATGAGATTATAATATTACAAATGTTTACTTGTAAATAATAATAGTCTGAGAATAACAATATAGAAATAGTAGTCAGGTAATAATAGTCATATGATAGTAATTGGGTAACAACAATAGTAATTGGTCTACTAATTTTTCCATTATAGTTATTGGTGGTTTTTGGGTTCTATCTCTCTTCACAAGTTTAAATTTTGTTTTTAGCGCTCTCTCGCTTCTCCGTGTGTTATGTGGCTTTTTTTTTAAGTACATATCATATGTGCGTTATGTGGCTTTTTAATTTTGTTTTTAGCATATGTGGCTTTAAAGGTTCCATGAAAGTTTATCATGCGCAAGGTTTGAATGTTGCCCGACAAAGATTCAAACGTTAAGAGTCTGTTTGGGGCAGCTGCAGCTTATCCTGATAAGCTGCCGATAGGCAGCTGATCCAGATAAGTTGTTTAACTGTTTGGTTTGTGTGTTGGGAAACAGCTGATTCTGGATAAATGACATTTTCTGTCCCTGAAATGAAATCATAAACATATACCAATTTTAAGAAAGTAGAAGTAATAGTTGACATCCTTCATGAAATAAAATTATATGTAAATACTCATTTGCCGGTGAGAAATCGTGGCAGCTAAAGACATCGATCGAATTTGCTTGGAAAAAAAAATTATACCTTTAGGAAGGATGCTCTGGCGAGACGTCAGATTTCTGTTATTTAACCTTTTAGAAGATAGGTCTGGTATGTCCACTCTTCAGAAGATAAATCCAATGTATCCTTTTCGCCCCTCAGCTATACATGAGCAGTAATTCCAGCACAGTGAGGCCAAAAAATGCACAATAATTCTAAGAAAAGAGGGAGGAAAATCAAATTAAATTATTTTTATGAGAAAATTACCATTCAGAAAGTTAAGGGAACCATTATGAATGCTCACAAAATTAGTCTCTCTTCCTATATTCAAACAAATTACCTGCAAACCAACCGTTTATTGATTCCCGAAGAGAAAACAATGAGCTTATCAAAGGAGAAGCGAGGAGACGAGCGGGCTTCGGTGCGGCAGGAAGGAGTCGAGCGAGTTGTCTTAGAGAGGAGAGGCGAGGAGACGAGCGGGGCTTTGGTGCTGCAGGAAGGAGTCGAGCGAGTCGTGGTAGAGAGGAAAGGCGAGCCGAGCTTCGATCGGCAGGCGAGCGTGGGGCGAGCATTCGTGTGAGAGCAAGCAATGTCTTTCGCTCCATCGAAACGCGGATTGCGGGCTCCTACTCGTGATTCTCGTTTAATAGAAACCTCCCAATGACATTTCTAAAAACGCCACTAAAACGCATTAATCAAACAGCCGGTGGCGTTCTCAAAACGCTACCGTTGTGAATAAGCTCTCCAAACGCACCCTAAGTTACCATGTGATCAACTCCAATAAACAATCAACAAATATAAAAGCAGCAATTCGTTATGTTTTTTCTTAAAATATAATTTTGAGGATATTTCCTAATCGGATATGCTATAAGGAATTAAAAGTCAATATTCTCTTTATTTTATTGAATATTTACTCGCTAAAAAATTGAGTTATTTGGACAATTTAATAAAAGGCACAACACTAACTAATCAATAAAATAAATACATCACAATAAGAAAATAATTTTATAGATTTTTTTATTAATTGTAATAATTGCAGACAAAATAAATCAATTAATTCCGTATACTTTAAATATAGCGAGCTATATAAATTTTGTGCAAAGTAATCTAGGACTATTAAACGTGATTGAAATTCAATGAATATAAATATTAAATACCACAACAAATATACATGTCCTAACTTTAGGTGACAATATGTTATCTATAATTTAATCAAATTAAATTTTATTTTTTAGATGCCCAAAAGAAATATTTTCCTCCTAATATAGAGGGAATAACACAATATATAGAAAAGCAATTATTATAGTAAGGATCCGTTTGGGCCAGCTTATAAGTGCGGGCGGCGTTTTCGAACCGTTTGGTTCGCGCGTTTCACCAGCTTATCCGAAACTGCGTTTGAGCTGTTACACTAAATGCAGGCCGCGGGTCGACCCCTGTGGCAGGCCCGCGGGCCGCGTTTCAGGACAAAGAATTTATCATGAAATGCACAAGCTGCCCCCAACGGACCCTAAGGGCCCGTTTGGGGCAGCTTATAAGTGCGAAAACGCCGCTTCACTGTTTGTTTAGCACGTTTTAGGTGATTATCTGAAAACTACGTTTTCTGTTTTAACAAGAAGCCGATCGCGGGGTAACCCCCTCGTCTACGTTATTTATCCGCGTTCGCTCCTTTATTTTACGCCACAGCCTTTGCTTGTTCATGGAACCACCCCGCTCGTCTTCTCGTTCGGCTCTCCCTCTCGCCGTCGAAGCTGCTGGAAGCCGAACACTTCACTGGCGGCCCCATCCTCCTCCGCTCCAGCCGATGCCACCTCACCGCCGTTGCTTCTTCGGTGAAGCAGTCCCCTCGTCGTGCCTCATGTCGGTCTGCTCCAACATTGCAAGGGTTCGATCACGAAGGAACTATAACTTCTTTGTACATATCAACATCGGTCTCTGCTTTGCAAACCATTGCTTGGATCCTGCGGAATCAATCCGTTGCTCTTTTTCTATTACCCCGTACGAGTTCTATGAACCATAGTGGTGATCTCTCTCGCCTTTTCATTTGATGTCTGCTTCGACTTGCCAAGTTCGAGGTTTCTAGCCTCAGTTCGTTGTCGTGCATTGAATCCTCTGTTTTCTACTTGTTAATGGGCTTCTTCTTCTTACTTACCTGGTTTGAATTGAATTGTTTTCATTTTAATTGTTGAATGATGAATTCCTTGTCTGATAGATTTGCAAACTGGTCTAGAATTAGCAGGTTTTTTCGAGTCTCTTTTGAGTTCAGAGTTCCGATCATCCCTTGATAAGTTTGAAGGATAAGACATGGAATAGTTCAAATTGTTTTAAGTTTTCCTGTTCATGGAAGCTTAATCATTTTCCTATGGGAAGTATTATTGTTGTTATTTAGGTGATTATTTGTACCGTTTTTTAGGACTGTGGAAATGTAAGTGAAAGCTACGTTAATTAAAGTTAGCAGAACAAACATTGATTCTATATTTGTAATTTTAGTTTGAGATGATAATTGATAGTTTAATTCAGTGTACCTCAGTCACATGTAAATATGAGGTTTTTTGCCATTAGTTGTAATTCTGTTATGTTTTTTGATTTTTTAATAGATTTGTAGATAGTCTCCCTTGAGTGAGGAGTATATCTTCGAACTGTTAGGCAGCGTTTTTTTGGATTTTAATATATTAAATATATTCTCATTATATTATTGTTGCAAACTGCTCCACTACGCATGACTGAAATGATAATTTTTTAACAAACAACTACAAATCAGTTTTTCTCAAACCGCAGAAACCAAACAACTTAACAGCTTATTCAGTTCAGGGGCAGAATTGTCATTTATCCACAAACAACTGCAAATCAGTTGTTTTTCAAATGCTCAAACCAAACAACTAGTCAGCTTATCCGGATCAACTGCTGAACAACAGCTTATCAGGATCAGCTGCTTATCAGCAGAAGCTGGATAAGCTGCAGCTCCCCCAAACAGCCCCAAACAGACCTCCCCCAAACAGACCCTAAGTCGAAAGAATTGAAAAAAGCAACTCCAAATTATGTTGATAAAATGATAAAAGTATCTATTTCTAAACTAATTTGATTGAGATATTTGAGCAAATCTAATATCAAATTTGTGTGCACCGCATTTACAAGACTTTGAATCAAAGAACTTCTGATTGATTGACCGCTTAATTCCTCAACCAACTGACTCAGATGATTTTCATTTTTATGTTACTTTGATTTGCAAATGTTGGCCACTTTCACACAAAAAATCAAAGCTAAGAGTCATATGACATTCCAAAAATGATTAGGAATCTATGGTGACATGTTGCATGTTCATGCAATTATTTTATTCTTTATAAACTATTTTGTAGATGATAAACTAAACTATTCTTTTCTATATTAATAGTAACTATGTTAAATGATATCCCAACAATATCACTAATTTTAAAAAGCTCACTTTCCCTAGTCATACATATGCGATGGAAGAAAATTTTGATGGTTGGTTCGATTTACAAATAGTGTTCCTCTTAGTATAAAAAGAAGAATCATTATAAAATGATAATTATATGACTGGTTCAATACAATCAGCTTGAGATGGCTGAACAAAGCAAGCCATCCCGATTAGAGATGGTGGAGCCAAATTTAGCTGGTGGTGGGGGCAACTGGAGCTGGTGGTTAGGTCGAATAGAGCTAGTGGCCTGGCCAAATAGAGCTGTCGAACCAACTAGAGCTAGTTTGCTAGAGGTGGTGGTTGGGCCGAATGGAGTTTATCTAGCTTAGTAGAACTAGCCGAGCCGAACGAAGCTGGACAGGTTGAATGGAGTTGGCTTGGCCGGTGAAACTGTTATTCAGCAGATAGTTCA